TCACTGCAACCTCTGCTTCCTGGGTTCAAGCAATTCTGCTGCCTCAGCCTCCTGAGTAGCTGGGATTATGGCACGTGCCACCACGCTCAGCTAATTTTGTATTTTTCATAGTGACGGGGTTTCACCTTGTCAGCCAGGCTGGTCTTAAACTCCTGGTGTCAGGTGATCCACCTGCCTCAGTCTCCCAAAGTGCTGGGATTACAGGTGTGAGCCACCATGCTCAGCCATAAATTTATTTAAAAAAAAAAACAACTTACTTTTACCAACTACCATCACCACCATTTCATAAAGAAAAGCCTTTTTTAGCCTCAAAAAAATAATAAATATGTGATAGAAGCTAGGACACTTCCTTAAAATGAGTGACTTTTGTTTTCTGAAAAGCTCATTTATCCTGGTTTTTTCTTTCTTTTTTATTTTGCCCTGGCTGGTGAAACTTCCTTAGTAGGAGGGACCAGTCTCCAACTGTGGTCTTAGGGACCAACTAATGAAATAGCTTCTGAGCTGAGGAATCCAGAGAGCTCCTCTTTCAGGTGTGATGCACAGAGTTTGCAATAATAATCCCATGAATATGATTAAGTTTTATGTTATGAGAATGTTTACCCATTTTCAAGTATAAACCTGTTTGTAAGATTTTGAATTTCAGATTTGGCCTTTCAGAGGATAAAACTGAAACATAGCCATGAGAACTAAACTACCAGTAGTCACAGAGGCATTCACCAAATATTTCTGAGCTGCTAGCACCCAGGCACACAGTGGGAATGCCTTCCCAACCTCTTTGAAGCTGGGGATGGCCATGTGACTGTCTTTGGTCAGTGAAATGTGAGCAGAGGAGACATGATTGGGGGAGGTATGCTTCACATCTGGGAGGAAGCTTTAGAAGCCAATGCTTGATTCATTGCTCTTTTCCTGCCTCTATAGTAGTAAAAGTAAGTCTTCAGATGGAGCTTCTGTCAGGCTCAATCCCTCCCGAGGGCCTCTATGAGTAAGATCTCACTTGTAAACTTCCATAGAACATAAAACATGAACAAGACAAAAGGAAGCATACATTGAATTAAGCTATGAGATGTAGGTGTCTTTGTTGCCACAGGATAACCTATCTCATCTTGATTAGTCTATCCAAGTTCTCTCCGTTCTGAAAGCCTGTTACATGAGTGGCCACATGATGGCTCAGATCGTAAGTTGTGGAACTGGAGCTACTTTTACCAGCAACACTGTCGTCAACAACACTCACGTTCTTCAATCATGCCGCCTCCCCCAAATCCTAACCAAACTGGCTCTAATATTGAGCAAGGCATGTTTCCAGAAATCAAATCCAAGGCTTGGCAATAGAGCACATGAGGGCAGAATCGTGACAACATGGGGAAGAGAAGATTTCACAGGGTAGAGTGCTCCTTGGGGGATTTCCTTGCTCTAGGTTAGAATCAGAAGATTAAAATACTTCCAATCTGGTATCAAAATGTTTTATGGAACTTAAAGAAATCTTCACGGGGAAGGGGAGACTCTTCTTTCATTCATTAGGCATCTTGGACTATGGATACAATGGCTGAAGCTCTAGACGCCATCTTGAACCTTGAAGACAAAAGCCACAGCTTAGGAATGGCAAAGCAGTTAACTGGAATTAGTCTGGTTCCATGAAAACTTTGTGGAGTTTCCATATCCCCCTGGATTGCCTTCCTTTATTGTACAGAGAAAAAACTGTTACCTTGTTTATGCCACTGTTAGTTGTTTTTTCTTATATAAACCCAAGCCTAAATCTAACTATTATATACCATGGGTTTTTTTTTTTTTTTTTTAATTTGAAACATACTGTTTATCTCATTCTTTTTAAATGTTTTGGCTTTTTGGATATTTACAATTTAAAATAATGTATATAACTTATTTTAAAAGAAATATGAATGTACTAAAGAGACATATTCTTTTGATTAATGTATGAACAATCAGAGCATGGAGCCCACTGGTGTGGGGAACTGACCATGGGGAGTCATCTGATTCCAGGCTGCCTTCCTTCAGTGTCTGAGGCTCAGCTCTGATGCACAGGGGTGGGAGGATGGCTAAGGCATTTTTACTTTGATCATCTTGGTTGGGTTTTGAAGGCTTTTGTTACCTGGCCCTCCTCTTCACAATGGGTTGGCATCTCCAAATCTCTGGCCCAAACCTCAGGGATATGATTACCACTTCCCTTCACCCAGAGCCTATTGAGAAAAGGCAACCAGTACTTCTTTCGCTGACTCCAGTCAGCTTTTTGTGCTTTCTCAAAGACAAATGAGTCATTACGGCTCAACCAGCCTTCTAAACAGCCAGCGTTTGAACTGAAGTGTATGTATATGGTACATAAGGAAAGTTAGGGGTCTGAAAATACATCATTAAAATCTTGAGGCAATATTTGAGCAACTTTCTATTTTAATCTCTGGGGATCTATTTAGCCTCTGGGTTTTGAACCTTTTGATATAAAATTTGACTAGCAGTCACCTCTTCCTGGGGGCCACTCAGGTGAGGAGGCTCCAGCAAGGGTGTAGAAGAGGATGAGAACACATCCCTGATGCCACGTTACAGTGTGAGAACAGAGACTAAAGACCAGTGATGACCACTGGAAATAGTTTACAATTCCACTGTATTAGTCAGTTCTCACGCTGCTGATGAAGACGTCCCCAAGACTGGGTAATTTATAAAGAAAAGAGGTTTAATTGACTCCATTCAGCATGGTTGGGGAGGCCTCAGGAAACTTATGATTATGGTGGAAGGGGAAGCAAACATGTTCTTCACATGGTGGCAGGAAGAGGAAGTGCAGGTGAAGAGGGGAAAACTCCTTATAAAAGCATCAGATCTCATGAGAACTCACTCATTATCAGGAGAACAGCATGGAGGTAACCACCCCCATGATTCAATTACCTCCCACCAGGTCCCTCCCACCACACATGGGGATTATTGGAACTACAATTCAAGATGAGATTTGGGTGGGGACACAGCCAAACCATATCATCCACCAAAGGTATCTTGCTTACAGGTCATCTTCCACCACCCATCTGCTGAGCTTTGCTTAGTGATGACAGCCAACTTTATCATCAGCCTGGTTCACATGGAATTGGAAAGGCCAATCTGCAGCTGCCCACCTCCTCTATCAAAACAACTGAATGTGAATTCTAAGCCAAGTAGACACTCAAAAAGTTATCTGTGCAAAATTCCTTCCATTCAGGCATATATGCAAGAACTGACTCTAATGACATAATGCATTTGAACAGCTTCATATGTAGCAATCCTCCATGATTGCTATTTTCTATCTTCCCTTCCCCTATTCTGCTATTATCCATTTCACTACCCCAACTGAGAAATAAGATAGTTTAGTCGAAGTTTGCATAAAGAGGTTATACCATCTTGTCAGGAAGGCATTTTTTTCCCCATTCATTCTTCAAAGGAAGTCATTCTCCCTAACAATCAAAATTATCTATTTTCTTTATCTGTCTTCCAGGATATGACACTGAATGAGCCAGCACTATTGGGGAACTAACAGCACTGAGAGCCTTTTAGGCTCTTGCAAAAGCCCATGCCCAGTGAAATGCGCACTCATCCACAGTTCCAGCTGCCCCTCCTGCACAAGGTCAATGCCAGAAGCTCATCTGACTGGTTTGCCCCCAGTGCCCTTGAAACAGCAAAGCCACACACCGTGATCACACCACAACCCTTCCTAGGAGACGCTGACTAAAGCACTTTACTCATTGAGAAGATTTTGTCCTAATCCAAAGGCTTTCCACCTTCCTGCTCTTGAAAAGCTGACATGGAACATCCCATGATTTGCTAGAGATAATGGTTCCAGAAGCACTGCCTGAGTTCACCAAGACTATGTATTGATATCTGCATAGACATTAAACCCATGGTTTTATCTCTTTGGTTACTGTTGCTATCAACCAACCTATGCATGTAATTAGCACCTCCTGGATACACAAGCAGTGCTAGGCACTGTGGGGGATGCAAAAATTAGCCGGCTGCTTGGCGGCAAAGAGAAAGGAAAAGGGGTAAATAGACAGAGCACAGGGGATTATTAGGGCAATGAAATCATTCAGCAGGTTACTGTAACAGTGAATACATGATATGATGCATTTGGCAAAACCCATTGAATATACAACACAGAGTGAACCCTAATGTAAACTATGGACCTCAGTTTATAGTCATGTATTAATATTGGCTCATCAGTTGTGACAAATGCACAACCCAATGCAAGATGTTAATAACAGAGGAAGCTGTGGGGAGGAGGGAGTATATGGGAACTCTGTACTTTCTGTTCAGTTTTTCTGCAAACCTAAAACTACTTTAAAATATAATCTATTTGTTGGGCACAGTGGCTCATGCCTGTAATCCCCACTTTGGGAGGCCAAAGCAAGAATATAACTCGTGTCCAGGAGACCAGCCTAGGCAACACAGAGAGACTCTGTCTCTACAAAAAGAAAAAATAAAGTCTATCCATTCAACAAAGTAACAGGCTACTTGAATAGATGAGACTGGCTCACATGTAGCAGAGGATATGTAATAAGGCAGTAGGTAAGAAGGTCTGCAGTGACATAGTTCAGGATCCCAGGTGCAATTCTTTCTTCCACTTCCTGCAATTCCTCACATTTTAAACGTGAGCTTAGAGCTGTGAGCTTCACAGCAATAAGGACCAGCTAAGAATAAGCCTGTGAAATTGGCTTGCAGCCATCCAGCACTGTATGTATCTAAATAAAGTCGTAAATAAATACATGCGTTATTTTTCATCCTAACCTTGGAGAAACCGAGAAGAGGAAATAAAGCACACATGAGACAGGTGATAAAAGAGAACATGCCTGCCCGTTTGGGAAAAGCCCTCAGCAGCATCGGTCATTTGGCAGTGGTGGCAAATGGGGTGAGCAGAGGCGAAATATCTGCATTCCACTGGTGGCCATGATAGTAACAGAAAATGCATAAGGCGAGAGTGTTCTCACAGGTCCTGCAGGAAAGCGAATCATCCTAGATCACGCATGTCTGAGATCCTGAGCTTCACACCTTGGGTCCGGTGTGTGTTGCCCGTGGAGAAACTGAGCTGCGTTCTTGAGCACGAGCCAGACGCCTTGACAGATGGTAAGTACCTGCTCCTCCGGGCACCCATCATCTGAGCAGCCTGGCAGGAGCCCAGCTCCCTGTGCCCAGCTGGTAATCTTATGTCCTGGGGCTTAAGAAGTGATAGCCCTTTGCAATTGTTCTTTCCAGGCAAAATTTAAAGCTGAGAAGTCTGGTTTACACTTGATTGTTTGTAGTAAGAAAGAGGGATATGGATAGACGGACGAGTCAGGGATTAGAAAGGAAAATCAACAATATCTGACATTGCTGATTATTAGGGTTTCAAAGCATTTTCTCATCCATTCGCTCTTTTAATTATTACAACCAACATTTGGGAAGCAGGAAGGAATCATTCCAGTTTTATAATAAAGCAAAGAAACTGAGATGCAGAGAGGTGCCCACAAGTATGGCTAGGAACTGGCAGTGCATCCAACGGGGTTGGACTGCCCAGCAAACCCTTCACCCAAATAAGACATAGGTTCTGCCTGCATGGGGTCCTGGTTCTTTGGGGAATACACAGAGACACATTTTTAAAAGTTATTTAGGACTTTGGAGGAGGCAGGAAATCACTATGGACTCAGGTGGTCTTTGTGAAAGAGAAGAGAAAACAGGGAGCATCTCCCAGGCATGTGGAGACCTGAGAGCCAAACCACACAGCCTGTCTAGCAGAACTCCCAACCTGCAGCTGACAGCTCACCTTGGTGAGAATCCAGAGGAGGCAACTTCAGAGACGAAGATGAAGGCCAGGTTGTGAGGGCCTTTCACGCCAGACTAACTAAGGGCTTGAGCTTTTATCTCATCACCAAGAGGGAGCCATTAAAGATTTGGAAGCAGTGGGGAATATGCACCAAGCAGGCTTTGGGGAAAGGATCACCCTGAGGGAAAAAAGAGGCAGCAGGATGAGGAGCACAGGCAGGGGGTTGGGAAGGACGTGGAATTGGAAGAGAGGTGGTGGGAAAGTGGAAGGGAGGTGGAGTGGAAGGAATTGAGAGGGAAGGACCATGGTGCAAGACAGTGTGAAGAAATAATGGCACTCCTGAAGTTAAGCTTGAGATGTGGCTGACCATGGTGGGAAGTCCCTGGCAAGTCATAAGAGACGATGGGCTGATGGTCAGGAGAAAGGTCAAGAGACAGTTATCTGTGTAGATATGATCATTGAAGCATTAGCTGGGATGAGAAGGTAGAATGGGAACAGAATACTGAAACTTAGGTCCTCCCACCTTTAAGGAGTGAGATCAGAGAAAAGAGTGGGATCAGGGAAGCAAGAAAAAGATGTCAGAAGTGGGAAGAGAAGCGGAACAGAGGGAAGGCAGCACTCCCAGAAGTCTTCCCAATCAGGCCCCTGGCTCCAATTGTGCCGGTTCCTTTCTTCACACCAACTTGCTCCCTGTGTCCAAGCTGTGTTCATGTCCCAGGTCCTGCCAGAGTGCAGTACCAAGCTGGAGACGTAGAGACATCTGCTGAAGTTTACTTGCCTTATGACGATCCAGAGCAAAGCCATGAAAACCAGACAAAAATAGTTTCAAAAAGGAGATGTGGGGCTGGCCACAGTGCCTTTGAGAGGCTGAGGCAGGAGGACCGCTTGAGGCCAAGAGTTCAAGAACAACCTGGACGATGTAGGGAGACCCCATCTCTACAAAAAATAACAATAAAAATTAGCCTGGCTCAGCGGCAGGTACTTGTGTTCTCAGCGGCTCAGAAGGCTGAGATGGGAGAATTGCTCGAACCCAGGAGGTTAAGGCTGCAGTCAGCTGTGATCACGCCACTTCACTCCAGCCTCGGCAAAAGAGCCAGACTCTGTCTCAGAAAAAGGGGGGGTGGAGTCGGTGGCTCACACCTGTAATCCCAGCACTTTGGGAGGCCGAGGCAGATGGATTATCTGAGGCCAGGAGTTCAAGACCAGCTTGCCCAAGATCGTGAAACCCCATCTCTACTAAATATACAAAAATTAGCCAGGCGTTATGGTGGGCACCTGTAATCCCAGCTACTCAGGGGGCTGAGGCAGGAGAATCGCTTGAACCTGGGAGGCAGAGGTTGCAGTGAGCCAAGATGGTGCCACTGCACTCCAGCCTGGGCGACAGAATGAGACTCTGTCTCAAATAATAATAATACAAAGTGGGGGGAGATATTGGGCAATAAGAACTGCAAAGACAGAACAAGTAGGAAGGCAAAAGAGAAGAATGACTTCAAGGGAGCTGTTTCAGGTAGAGCTCCAGGAGCAGGATGAAAAGGTGAAGGTGCTAAGGAGGATGTGAACCGCACAGAAGCAAATGTCCGACATACTGCCTACTCTTTCAAGAAGCTTTGCAGAGAAGGGAGGGAGCGCATGGGGAGAAATTGTCAATGGAAAGAAACAGAAAGAGAAGGGGTTTTTTGTTTGTTTTAGACGGAGTTTCACTCTTGTCACCCAGGCTGGAGTGCAGTGGCATGATCTCGGTTCACTGGAACCTCTACCTCCCAGGTTCAAGCAATTCTCCTGCCTCAGCCTCACACCCACGTCAGCCCACCACCACACCCAGCTAATGTTTGCATTTTTTTTTTTTTTTTTTTTTTTTTTTTGGGTTTTGTTTTTTTTCCTGTTTGTGGTTTTATGGGGGGATTTTGGCTCACCCCAACCTCCTCCTCCTGGGTTCAGGCAATTCTCCTGCCTCATCCTCCTGAGTAGCTGGGATTACAGGCATGCACCACCATGCCCAGCTAATTTTTTGTATTTTTAGTAGAGACGGGGTTTCACCATGCTGGCCAGGCTGGTCCCAACCTCCTGACCTCAGGTGATCTGCCTATGTCGGCCTCTCAAAGTGCTGAGATTACAGGCGTGAGCCACCGCGCCCAGCCAAGAAAAAGTTCTTTCAGATACTGTAACATGATTATAACTAGGCAGAGAGTCTCCGCCCAAAAGCTCCTTCAGCTGATAAACAACTTCAGCAAAGTTTCAGGATACAAAAATCAATGTATGAAAATCTATGGCATTCCTATAAACCAACAACGGTAAAGCTGAGAGCCCAAATTAGAAAGGCAAGCCCATTCACCATTGCCACCAAACAATATAAAATACCTAGGTATACAGCTAACCAGGGAGGAGAGAGATCTCCAACACTGCTCAAAGAAATCAGAGAAGACACAAACAAATGGAAAAGCATCCCATGCTCATAAATAGTAAACATCAATATTATTAAGATGGCCATACCATCCAAAGCAATGTACAGATTCAATGACATTCTTATCAAACTACCAATTACATTATTCACAGAACTAGAAAAAAAACTACTTTAAAATTCATATGAGGTCAGGTGCAGTGGCTAATGCCTGCAATCCCAGCACTTTGGGAGGCCGAGGCAGTTGTGTCACTTGAGATCAGGAGTTCAAGACCAGCCTGGCCAACATGGTGAAACCCCGTCTCTACTAAAATTACAAAAATTAGCCAGGCGTGGTGGCATGCACCCGTAATCCCAGCTACTCGGGAGGCTGAGGCAGGAGAATTGCTTGAAACCGGAGGCAGAAGTTTCCATGAGCTGAGATTGTGCTGCTGCACTCCAGCCTAGTGACTGAGACTCCATCTCAAAAAAAAAAAAAAAAAAAAGAGAGAGAGAGAAAGGGTAGTTATTACTGGGGTAAACAGAGGGAAGGAAAAGCCCTTAAGAGAAAGATAAGCCCAAGCTGAGGAAGAGGGCAGGTGTGTAGGTTGGGAGTGAAGCCCCACTGTGCTCCTTTATGGGGTAGCGGCAGGACAGCAGGACATAGGAGAGATACCAGCCTCCCAAGTGTCACTTCCCAGGAATGCAGCGGAACTAGCCCCGCTAACTGCAATACTATGACAGGCATTCTGAAAGGGCATTCCTCTTATAATTAGATACGTAGGCACTGGGAGGCAAATAAAAAGCACAATAAAAGCCAACAATGATGAGTTTACCAGTCAGACATGGTGGCTTATATTGTAATCCCCGCCTCAGCCCCCTGAGTAGCTGGGAATACAGGTGCCCACCATAACGCCTGGCTAATTTTTATATATTTAGTAGAGATGGGGTTTCACCATCTGGGGCCGAGGAGTTTGAGGCTACAGTGAGCTGTGATAGCACCACTGCGCTCCCACCTAGGAAACAGTGAGACCCAGTCTCAAAAAATTTTTAACATTTTTAAAAATTAAGAGCTTAACTATTGTTTGTTATCATTATACCAAAAGCTTTACCTGGACCATTTTATGCAGTTCTCAAAAGAATGCTACAGATTTAGTACCAATGCAATTACTCCCATTTCACAAATGTGGAAACTGAAGCTTTAAAGAGGTTAAATGCCATGCCTATGTCTAGCATGTAAGCAATGGAGCTGGACATCTTGGGACTCCAGGACCTATGGTCCTAACCATGGTGCTTGGGATGGCTTACTGCCTTCCAGGTGAGCTGGAATAAGTGGACCCAGACAGGACAATTAAGAAGCATTCCTCAAAGTGGAGCATTTAGTATGTGCAGTGTCTTGGTGCAGCATTGAGGCCAGGGAAGATGCAATGAGATAGATTAGTGCCATTTAGTTAGATCCTAGCTGACGAAATGGCATTTTGATCCAATATTTTTTAAATCCCTGGATTCTGTTATAGGGGCTCCTCACTTTAAGGAAATCTGATATTCAAAACCCAAACATAAGTAGGAATAACAGCTTGTTAATTGAGCATCTACTGTATCCCTTGGCATCAAGCCAGGAGTTTTCTAAACACGACCTCGAAACTGCACAATTCTGCCAGGTGAAATTATTAGCCATACTCCCAAGCCAGGCTCTATAAGCTGAGTTGTGATTCCCCAAAATTCAAGCGCTGAAGCCCTAAGCCCCAGTGCCTCTGCATGTGACTGTATTTACAGATAGGATCTTTAAGGAGGTAATTGGGTTAAAATGAGATCATTAAGGGTGGATCCTAATCTAATATGATTGATGTCCATATAAGAAGAGGAGATGAGGACACAGACAGACACTAAGGAGTGACCACGTGAGGGCACAGCAAGACAGCAGTTGCCTGAAGCCAAGAGAAGAGG